ATATAAATTATATATTCAAATCACACCTAAATAATTATTTAACAATCACGTACCACTTTAGGATCAGTTTCATAAAAGACACCAGCTCCACCACTTGCGAAATTTACTCCATTAGTGAAATTAATACCAGGTTGTAAATATGGGGGGACGAACGGTTGACCGATCTTTGTTGCTGCATGTAATTATCCATTAGAAAATTTAAATCAACCCAAAAAACTTAACAACAATTTCGCAAAACGATTCATATTATATTTTCCAATGCTTACCGATGAAGTCAACAATGAGACGGCCATCGGTGAATCTCCCAGTAGGAAAGTGGAAGAAGGTTTCTCCATATGGCCAATAATTTGCTCTATCCGAAACGCTGAGATTGATATAGTTATCGTTTCCAGCATCAAAGATTGAATCTCCAAATATGAACATAGCAACATGTCTTTTTGGCTGTCTAGAGCGATCACATAGGGAGATTTCTGGGATGCGAAGGCTGGCAAGGAAATTGAGCAGAAGAAAATTGAAGGTTAATTTTGATGCAGCCATTACCTACCGTTCCCAATGTCGCTTCGCTCTTCCATTCCACTTATTCATAGAGGTCACACCATATTCTTGCATGTTGACAACTCTGATTTGGGCACTTTGGACACGTTACAGCAATTCAGACAATAAGACAAAGGCTAGTTAGGTGAATCTGTATGAATTTATACAATTGAAGGTATCGATATTTATTTATTTTTAAATAGATTTGAATTCTCAAAATTATACTAATTAAATGAAATTTAAAAGGATGGTAGGTGTAAGAAAACTTCCATGAGGTATTATTATTAATTAAATAACCTCTGTTTTTTATACTGATTTTCATTTATAATTGCATTTCAAATTTTAACTTGGTAGAAGTTAAGATAATTTATTTTGCATAAAAAATTTATTTTATAACCATTTTAATGAAATATATATTTTTTTAAAATTTATTTTTTATAAACTACGATTAAAAATGTTTTCTAAAAAATCATAAATATGAAGAGATGATGTCACAGAGGAGTGATTACAATTCGCATCCGCTGGTCAAAGAATTTCCTTTAAACAGGAAGTCGTCAAGGATCCTTCTTCGCATTTATTACCACGGAGTTCTTTCTTTAGTCTCATGGCTGGTGGGCAACCTCTTGGCCCTGCATTTAAAATAGCAAATTCCCTTGCTCCCACATTGAGCAATTCCTGTAAATGCGATAAAAAAAATTGAATTTTACACACAATAATTATAAATATACTAAATCTACTTGACCCAATTCAAGATTTAAGTTATAGATTAGACAAGTTGATCTAAATCAACAAAACATAATCTAATTTTATTTATAAAAAAATAATATTGACTCAAAAATAAATCAAGCAAAGCAAGTTTTATGAATTATTAAAACTCAGTTAATTAAGAGTTGCAGCAATTCAGATTGATAAACAAAGGGAGTAGCTGAATCTTCCCTTTCATTTCTTTCAAATGATGATCAACTGGTTATTCCATCATCTAAATTCCAACCAGTCAAAAGGTAATAAATCAAAGGCTAGTTAGTTGAATCTTTAGATTAGATAATGCCAAAGACGTTATTAACCTAATAGATTGTTAACTGAATATCTTTTTGAGTGCACTGTTGTGTTTTATATTAACAGATCAGTGTGTTTTATATATTTAAAAAAAAAATTATATTTAAAAAGATTAAAAATATGATCATAATATAATATTTTTAAGCTAGTTACGCGTGATGAGTTTAAACACATTTAAATTTAAAAAGCTATGTACCACACCCATCATCCCCAGGCTTTGTTATACAGTAAACTTAACTATAATTGCATCTAGCAAATTATTACATCCAACATCCTCGAACTCATCATCAATTAGCCATTCCACCATCTAAATTCTACCCAGTCAAAGGTAATAAGCCAAAGGCTAGTCAGTTGAATCTTTAGACTGGATAATGCCAAAGACATTATTATCCCAATAGATTCATAATTGATTTTTTTTTTTTTTATTGCAGTAAGTTTTATATTAATAGATTAGTGTGGTTTATATATGTTTTTTTTTTAATTCATGTCTAGCATATTAGAAATTTTCATTACAACATTTAATAGTTTTATTGATGAAATTTTTTCGTCAATGTGAGATTATCATTCCATCGGTAATTTTATTAATTAATTCATTGATGAAATGAATCATTTGGTATAACATTCCATCGGTAATTTTACTAATTAATTCATTGATGAAATGAATCATTTGGTATAACATTTGTCGCTAATTATATTGATAAAAAAAATGATGGTTTTACAGATAAAAAATATGTATGCTAAAAAAAATACCCATGGAAAATATGTCGACGGAATTATCCGTCGGCATATTTCCATCAATGATTGTGGTATATGTAGTTAAGTTTTTTCAACTCTCTAGAAAATACAAACGGACTGAGGCAGTCGGTATTTCTATTGGTAAATTACCGATGAAATTAGTTCTGTCGACATATTTTTATAAGTGATTGTGGCATATGCAGTTAAGTTTTTCCAACTCTTTGAAAAATACAAACGGACTGAGGCAATCGGTATTCCCATTGGTAAATCACCGATGAAATTAGTCTATTAGTGATTGTGGTATATGTAGTGATTTTTTTCAAACTCTCTAGAAAATATCAATAGATTGAGATTGTCAGTAACTCCATCTATAATATTTTTTAAAATTAAAATTATATAGAATAATTAAAAATAATAATAATTAAGCAAATCAAATTGTATAAAATCAAATTATGTAAAAATAAAATTGAATGATATAAAGTCCAAATATTCATTACAATTTTAGTTGTACAAATAAAAAATTAAACTAGAATAATGGCAGCGCTAAAGGAGGAGGAGGAAGTTGGTCGTTTCCAGGACCATATGACCAAAAATGAAGCACACGCGCATCACTCATTTGTGATTTTATGTCCATGACCATTTGGCATAGTTGTTTATAATCCGTCGAGAGTTGTTTTCTTTTTTTACATGAGTCGTATGTTGTTGTGAGATCACGAACTCCTAAAACTGAGTGCTCGATAATGATTGGAAGTTCCCAACGGTTGAGACACTACGGGTCGCCCACAAGTTTTCAGCCATAATATTTGAGAGTTCGTATACCTGATTTCTATCAGGTCCATCAAACATTCCTACCTCCATCAACAAATCTAGATCAAAATCCAGATAGGTTGAAGGATTGTCCTAATGTCTCTCCATCAACTTGCTATTATATTTCTCCCAAAAATTAAAAAAGAAACCATCAAATTCAATTCAAGAAAATAATAACTTACAAAAGAAAATAGTTGAACGAACATACCACGAAGTGTTTAGCGCGGTTGTCAACAAACTGTTGCACCCTCTTTTAACGATCTTCACTCTACACGTGTGTCTTCATAAAAAGCTTCATTGGACTCGACTCACATCCAAGAGATGTAGCCTACAAGAAAAAAAAATTACAAGTTAAATATATTTATAAATAACAATAAATTAATTAAAGATAAATGTTATTAAAATTAGTCTCACCATCCACTTCGCATGTGCAATGAACGAAACGGAGCTGCAGTATATATGGTAACCAAATCATGAATTTGCTGGTTTCAATTCTCAGCACTGGATTGTGAGCGTTGTGTAAATCACTTAAATGTCAAGTGCTATATATACTACATTCATATATCCTCTATAATGTATAATAACCTAAAATCCCTCCAAGCCACTATGTTATTCCAACTTGATAGAGTATTATCTCTAACTTTTTTTTTAGTTTTTTTAACGTTTTATATCAAAAGTCATGTTATTCCAACTTGGTAGAGCATTATCTCTAACTTTTTTTTAGTTTTTTTAATGCTTTATATCAAAAGTCATGCAACCTTTATAATACAAATGTATTTCATGTGAGTTAATGACAAATTAGATTTTAATATATAAACTTTTAAAAAATATCATATTATTTTTGAAGTTATCTAATTACAACATAATTCTCTAAGACCCTCTTTATAATATTATTATTTGCTCTATCTTACTTGAATTTGTTCTACGTATAAATAATTTATTAAAAATAAATTAATAGTTTCAATATAACATAAAAAATCGTTAAATTTTTTAAATTAACACTAATTTTAAATTTTTTAAACTATGTATCGGTATAAAATTTTTAATTAAGATATTTGAAAACCTAACTGCGAAACAATAAAATTACCAATAATTTTAAAAAAAATCAATGATTTTGAAAAAGCTCTACTCAGCTGTCTGGCGATGCTGGTTCAGTCCCTTTTTGTACCCATCAAATTTAGGTGTTTACCTTTCAACTCAGGTCTGGAAGATTCTTAACAGTTTAATGCAACTTCCAAACCAAGTTTTTAGCACACCAATAATACTGTTCTCGCAATTAAACTAGAAGAAACACGATGCTGATTTCAAAGTTTACATTTAATTTCACACCGAAAATTCAAGTGCAGCTCATGTTGCTGAGGATTACAACAGAGTTTGTTTATTTTCTATCAAGGAAGAAAAATCAGATTCAATCCATAAGAGAAATACTACTGCATCATTTGCAAGTGTCATTCTCCCAGACACTGTCCCAGGAACCACTTGGAGCTGGCTTTGGTCCTTCTATGTAAAGCGGGTTTGCATTGGTACCTTCTGGTCCTGGAAGAGGAAGTCTATGGGGACCATACGGGTGGGCCATTCTAGGCTTTGTTTTGATCCCTAGCAGCCTCAATACAAATCTAGCCACCTCTCCATACAACATACCAGAGCGATCGAAAAGCTGTCACAATTAACTTTTTAAATAACTTCTTGTATCAAAATACACGGAAATGATCGTTTTTTTTATTTTTAAAAAATTATTTTTGATATTAACACATCAAAATAATTTAAAAACACTAAAAACATATTAATTTAAAATAAATAAAAAATTAAAAAAATAATTTTTTTCAAAAATGTTTTTGAAATGCAGAAATAAACAAACTCTATATAATGCTGATTTGGACCACAGAAGATAGCTGTTCCTACAAGCTACAGTTCAAAGGATTTCCAAAGATTGGTGTCTCAAAACTTCAACACAAAGCAATTTGCTACGAAACACAAAGATAGAAGCCATCTAGCCATATCCCATTCTAATATAAAATGGGAATTAAAAATATGCATCCGCTCACGAACAAGGATGAAATTGCTTCCAAGTTTAATTTATTCCACAAAGTGTTTATGATCATCCTAACATCAACACCATTGCAGCTGGCAGCTTAAATTAATGAGAACTAGTTAATACTATCAAGTTGGATGACATAGGTTTGATCATGCATAATGATATTATGACGAAAGTAAAAAAGCAAGTGTTGAGAGCCAGACATGAGATAATATTTTATCTGACAATCACTTAACCAGCAAAAAACAAGGTGCAAGGAAAAAGATAGTGAGAATACCTGAAGAAGTGCAGTCATGAGCATGTGAAAAGCCTGTGTATTCTGGTCTATGAGAATCGATATGCGACCAAAAAAGTTCACCACGCCTTGCAACTGTCATCATAGAGAAAATGGTGATTTTCT